CCTGATCAGCTCTAAACCCGGATCTGCCTTGGTCCTTGAGCAAGGTCACCTCATTAAAGCATGCATGCAATGTCCCGTCAAATGTCCTCTAAGCAGCATGGGGTACGCTTGGCAAGGAAATTTCGATGCGTCATTCCTACTTGGTAATGGCCCTCAGCACAGGATCTCGCTGAGTTGCTGAATTCATGATCCTCCTGCCTCAGCCTCTGGAGCTGCTGGGATTACAGGCACATGCTACTACACCCATTAACTTATTTTACTAGGAAACACCTAACACCTGCCCATGATGCCAAATTCAAGCACAAAATTGTGAAGGGTGACCATGTACTTTTCTCCCTCCTGGGGCCCCAGTTAATCTGTTCTTTCTTCTGTGCAGCCACTATTACCCATTCCTTGGATATTCTTCCAGATTCCTTGGAGAGTCTTCTATTTGTATCTAGGTATATCCATACTTTTTCTTTACACAGAAATTGTAGCATATGACATATACTTTCTTAAAAAAAAAAAAAAAAAACTTAAGGGAGGGCTGGGGATATAGCTCAGTTGGTAGAGTGCTTGCCTGGCACAAGGCCATAGGTTCAATCCCCAGCACCATACACACACAAAAAAAATCCTTTTCAGTTTGGAAATTATTATTACCATTGTTGTTTGGGTTAAATACCAATGGGAAGCCGGGCATGGTGGCGCACACCTGTAATCCCAGCGGTTTGGGAGGCTGAGAGACAGGAGGATTGCGAGTTCAAAGCCAGCCTCAGCAACTGCAAGGCGCTAAGCAACTCAGTGAGACCCTGTCTCTAAATAAATTACAAAATAGGGCTGGGGATGTGGCTCAGTGATAGAGTGCCTGAGTTCAATCCCTGGTACAAAAAAAAAAAAAAAGCCAATGGGAGGTGACAGCCCATCTGGTACACAGAGTGTGTCTATCTCTCTGAGCTGTGGCTCTTCCTCAGGCCAACAAAGAAAATGAATAATAGAAGAGGTTAAAACCCAGCAAAGCCCTCCTGTCACTAGGAGCTGTCCTCCAGCCTGGCTGCCTCTGTACCTTCCCTGTAAAGCTGAATCCTGCGCCTTTAACTATCCACAGCACGTGTTGCACGTACAGGGAGTAGCATCTGGGCGGCAGCCACCACTGGTTAAAGAGACAGGCCTCCTGGATGAAGCTTGGACCAGGGGCAAGTTTTAGCGATTCAGAGAAGGGGACAGGAAACAGATACTAAAATAGTGGAGGGCAGGTTTTGCCAGAGTGAATCCTTTCTTCTAAAGAGGCCAGCAGCCTCCAAGAATAATCCCCCCTCCTGATTTATGATGATTCTGGGATTTGGGCCAGGTACCACTGGCAAAGAATTTTTTTCTATCCACGGCACATCGTTGAACTCTAGCAAACGGGCAGGGCAGTTCCAATGCTACTTCTGTGGCCCACAGCAGCCGAGTGCTTCAATTTTCCTAGCCCCACTTGTCTTATTTTGCAATTGGGAATGATACTGCCTAACTTGAGGGCTCTTGGGAGTGGGGGAAATGACAGAGAGCTTTGAAATGGAACCAGTCTGCACAGGCTTGCTACTCTTGCCTCTGCTCTTGCTTGCATTTCCTGCTGTGAGGGTTTGGAATCTGTCTGCAACCTCCTGAATTCAAAACATCCGGTGGATTCTGGCACCAAGTCCTGTCCCCAGCTGCAGAAAGTCCCAGCCCTGGGTCCCACAGAGGCCCTAGATTCTGCTCACTTTGCTTCCCTTTACTTGCTTTGTGATCTTGAGCTTGCTGCTGGGTCCCTCTGGGTTTCACTTTTCCCATCTGTACAAATGAGCAAGTCTCTGTACAGTGAGAGTACCTGCAAGATTCCCAGCGATGTACCCATCTTCTAAAAATCATATGTGTTCCTTTTGTTTGAATTACAACAAATACTGCATATTCATTGTAAAAATTTAAAAAATAGAAATAAGAAAACAAAAATTACCTAGAAATGATAAGTGCTTTATACATGCACACACACACACACACACACACACACAGGCGCACACACATGCTTGTTTGTTTTAAAGAATCCCATGACCTAGAAATAATCACTGCAACATTTGACTGTAATTTTACCCCAGCACTGTCTCTATGAGTGGCTCCATGTATAAGAATGTATCTTTATTGGGGATGGCACCAGAAGATCTTAGAAATGACTGTCTCCCAAATGAGCAAGTGACTTACAACTCCAGACATGTGGAATGTAGCCTTTGCATCACTCTTTAAAAGCCCCCTGTTCCTGCTGAGGGCAGGATCACAGCCTTTGGGACAGAGTCCCCTGTGTTTCTCCTGTGCTATCAAGGCAGTAAAGCTTCTTTTTCTTTTTTCTAAAAAAAAAAGAAAAAGAAAAAGAAAGAAAGAAGAAAGAAAAAAGTATCTTTACTGAGTGGGACCATACTGCAGTGTCCTAGGGTAGAGTATCCTTTGCAGGCACAGCAGCACCTAGGCATGGCCTGCTTTATGTTGTCATGGACCTCCAATTCTCCCCCCCCTCCCGCCCTCACCTATTGTTACACACACCATCTGTTCCTCTAGAGTCTAATCTGCCAGAAGGAACCTCCTGGGTCCCTTCTGAGGTCTCTTCCAAGGAGAGGAGGACTTTGCCCAGAGGTGAATGCCTCTAGCCGTCCGGATCAGGAGCCCTTGCACTAGAGACCCTCCAATTGTTTGTTGGGCTTTAGTGTTTCCATTCATTCATTCGTTGGTTGGTTCACTCATCAACCATCAGCGCTTAACCTCCAAAGCTCGGTTTGGTTTCCCTAGGCTCAGAAGTTTGCCTCCCAGGGACATAAAGCCAGGTTTGGATTCCCTTTGGGGGTGAGAGTGGGATTTCTGTATTTCCAGCACCCTGCAGGGCCAGAGCAGGGCCAGGCCTTCCTCCACATCCCCGAACCCCCAGGCTCACATCCTCTCCCCTTGGGTTTGGGGAAGAACTAATGAAATCTCAAGAGTTGACTTTCTCAGGGCTTGTCCCCAGGGTCACTCTAGTGCGCTCCAGGTCACCCCACCCCACCCGTGCGCCCGTTGCATAGATGCCCTTATAAGTTCCACTTGGGTTTCAAGTGAGCAAACCCAGACTCCGCCGGGTGGATACCGAGAAGCCTCGGCGCCGTGTCGGGTCTAGAAACTGTGGCCCGGCCCTCCTTCCTCCAGGAGG